GCTGACGCTGTCTGGCAGACACAGAACAACGGTGAGTGTCCAGCACAGAGCCGTTCGCTGCTCAGAGCCCCCCGTCTGGACAGCCGTGGGGGACACCGTGGGCGAGGCCCTGCCAGCCTGGGAGCCGCACGCCCTGCTCCAGGGGAAGAGGGGGCCGGGGGCCAGAGGGCAGGGGCCTTCATTTCATCCTGGGTTCGAAGCGTCTTCTCCCAGCACTTATCAGAGCCGTGATGCGGGCGGGAAGACCACCGCGTCCCGCCCTCAGAATGTCCTCGTGGGGCCGGGGCCAGAGGGCAGGGGCTCCGGCTTCATCCTGGGCTCGAGGCGTCTTCTCCCAGCACTTATCAGAGCCATGATGCGGGCGGGAAGACCGCCGTGTCCCGCCCTCAGAATGTCAGGCCCTCGTGGCTTCCACCCGGGGGGCCTGTCCAGGCAGTGGGGTGCTCCCTGCACCCACAAGCCGGGCACCGGCCACAGGCCCTGGGGCTCTCGATGGGTGAAGGGGTAGACAGGCAACTTCGGCAGGAGAGAGGCGTATGGTCACGGGGTGTCACCACTCTAGGAGAGCCAAGTCGGGCGGGAGGGGAGGTCACTCCCAAGCCAGGCCCTGGCCGCGGTGGCCCAGGGGACGAGGCCTGGGCTTAGGGGAAGTTGGCTGTCCTGGACGCTGCAATGACACACGCAGACAGCAGCTTGTGGATGAAGACGTTACGACGTCTCGCGGTTCTGAGGCTGGATGTCCGCGATCGGGCGCTGCGGACTCCGGCTCTGCTGAGGGCTGGCCGCCTGGTTCGGACGGGGTCCTCTCGCCGTGCCCTCATGTGGCAGAGGGTGTGAGGCGGGGGCGTCTCTGGGGCCCCGATCCCAGCATGGGGCTCCACCCGCACAACCTCATCACCACTCAGAGCCCCCCAACACTCTACGCTGGGGGCAGGTTTAGCATGTGAAGTTGGGGACAGGGACACCCCTGCCACAGCAGATGGGGAGTGGTGAGGGCTGAGGTGGAGAGGCTGGCCGGCCCGCCTGGCGGAAGCAGCCAAGGGGGTTTGCCGTGCGGTGACACGGTGACAGGGGCAGCTGAAGCAGGCCCGCGGGGAGCCAGCGGGAAGCAGGGCAGAAAGCGCACCCCGGACACACGCGATCGTGCAGCCGTCAGGAGAGGCGCTTGCTCACGTGGCCCCACCGGGGTCACTGGTCCTGCCCGAACCTGACAGCCACAGGTCGGAGCAGAGAAGCGAGGTCACCTGCAGAGGTCCAGCCGTGAGGGTAGAGCTGGGTGTGGGGCCCGAGGTCCAGCTTCAGCTCAAGCCGCAGCCGTGGGGACGGGAGCGCAGAGGGAGGGTGGGTCTGAGGCTTGGGACAGCTGCCACACCCAGGACAGTGACAGCGGCCTCGCCCAACAAAGCAGAGACGAGGAGGGCCGTGGGACAGCAGGCTTGACGTGGGTGATCGGTGTCTCGCGGGACGAGACGCCACATGGGAGGATGGTGACAGGGACGCAGGGGAGAAGGGCCTGGTGGCATCAGAGTGCAATGCTGGAGGGTGGGGTGACCTCTGCGGCGAGCGTGGAGGGGGCGCCCCGCGGAGCGCGAGCTCTCGGCCAAGCTGGGGGGACAGTGTGGGAGGGAGGCTACCGTCCCCGACGCCGTGCAGGGCAGCAGGAGCTGGTCGTGGATGGACCGGGTGGTCAGGGCCAGGAGGAGGGGCGGGCACAAGACCCAGAGTCCCTGTGGGACGCGGAGCAGGGCGGCTGGCGTGGAAGTCAGTGTCCCCTGTGTGACCAGAGTGTCAGCACCTTTGGCTGACCGGGTGGTCAGGGCCAGGAGGAGGGGCGGGCACGAGACCCAGAGTCCTTGTGGGACGCGGAGCAGGGCGGCGGCGTGGAAGTCAGTGTCACCTGTGTGACCAGAGTGTCAGCACCTTTGGCGGGTCCTGTTTTCTGCCATGAGGTGAGCTGTAGCGCAGAGGGTTTCGGGGTGAGGCCCCCAGGGGAGAGGAAGGAAGCAGAGACTGTGAGTGCCACCACATGGAGGACGGGTCACCGCAGGGCTTTAAAATGACAGGGACGAGGGCGCAGGGTGGGGACCCTTGGCCCTGCGTTCCCACAGACCCACATATGGCCCAGCGTGGGAGGTGGGGGGGTCAGAGGCCCCAGGAGGCCGCCCTCTGTGCACTTGGCAATCGGGCTGGCAGGACTCCCGGGCTCAGAGCTGGGTTTGCCAGGAAAGGAGCCTCTTCCCCGTAGCCATTCAGCCCTTATCTGGGGGACACCTGGGGACAGAAGCTGGGCCAGGCCAAGCACAAACAAGCCACCAGCCCGCGTTCTCAGGGTCGGGGGGCCCGGCCGCCCCTGCGGCAGACGTGGCGGTGCACACGCCCTTCCTCACGACGTCTGCACCGGTGCCCGCTCGGAGCAGCTGAAAAAACACCTTCGAACAAAGCCGATGCTGTCAGATTTTAAAGGTTTGGGTTTCACAATCGTTTCCACTGGCTCGGTAATGCAGGTGGCTTTCATGACGTTCTGAACCAGGTGACAAGCGTGTGTGGCTCCGCGCTGTCATCTGCTGTGTTTGGCTCGAGGTTGAGACCTGGGAGGGAGTGGCTTAGGCTCCCGGCTGGCCGCACCGCCGCTACCAGGAGAAGCGATCCGGGGCAGGAGAGCCACGGGGGCGCACTGCGGCCCCTGCCATCCCGAATGACAAGCCAGTGGCCGGCCCCCCGCCTGCGGGAGCTGGCCTTCAGGGGACTCCACACGCACGTGCCAGCCCGCCTCCTGAGACGGTGGCCCAGGCCTCCGCGTCCACTCTGAAAGGGCCACACACGAAGCCAGGTAAGGGCTGCTGTCGGAAGCCACGCGACACTCCTCACGATAACTCTCTGGACGTTTCAAACGGTCGGGATGAAGACGTTTGGTTTTCTTCCCCCGAGACGTGGGAGGCGTCGCCTTGGCTCCCCCAATGCTGCTGACATGAGCCTCTGTCAAGACAGTGCCACGCGACGTGAGGGCCCGTGGACCACGTGGAAAGGCTCCCGAGACGAGGGGGCGCTCACTTAAGAAGGATGATTTCTGTCTTTTCGTACAGATAAAAGGTAGTTTTTTTCCGAGGAAAGATCAATCGCTGGGTAAAACTGTCGTCACACATCCGAGAATTCCGCTCGCAGTGTGCGCCGGCCCGCGTCCCGGCCCGCGGTGCTGACTGGACCCGGCTCCCCGCCGCCCGCACCTCTGCACCCCTCGGCAGCTCCGGACGGGACACTTCGGCAGCTTTCGCCACCTCCCAAGAGCCACTCTCTCCTTCCTGCTTCTCTGTCCACAGCAAACTGGATTTCGAGTCCTGGTCTCCCTGAAAGTGTCTCTCGCTTTAGAAAATGCGTGGGCCACGCACTCTCCTGGCGGATGAGGCTGAATACACTGCAGCGCAGTTTAAGCCCCTTTCCCGTGGTCACCGTCAGCCCGTCTCGGTGGGAACACTAATCATCACGTTCCACCCAGAAGCAGGAGGGACTGGGGAGGCCCGAGCCCCTCCTCCAGGGCCGGGACTGTGCGACTCCCGCTGGGCGTGCCCGGGCTCCAGGGGTCCTCCGGCCTTGGCCTTGGCGCAGCAGGGACTCCTATCTGTTTATGGGTCTCAACAGGTCAAGAAAGACGGGGCGTTGCCATAGCAACCCTTACACGCCAATGCACCGCACTTAAGATTCAGGATGTCTGGTCTAAAAATACTGCGGCGCCCTGTCAGCTGCCAAGGGCTGTTTCCAGTTTGATAAACTCAGAAAACCGGACTTGCGGGCACGTGCGCCCAGCTCACACAAGCCGCATTTTCTAACCAGACAGGACTGCCTCGCGGCTCATCTGCGTCCCCTCACCCGAGGACAGCGGTCGGCATCCGGCGTCGCCCTGGAAGACGAGGCAGACAGGTCAGGCTGCGGGCAGGCTTTCCTGCTTTTTAAACACACTTTGTGTTTTGGAATAATTCCACATTTACAGAAAGGTTGTAAAGCCAGCTCAGAGAGTTCCCGTCTGCCGTCCACTCAGCCTCCCCCGATGCCAATGTCTTGTAAAGCCTGGTACGTCTGTCAAAACTAAGAAACGGACGTGGGTTTGTGACCTAACCGACCTCAGGCCTTATCTGGATTTCTCCGCTTTCCCTGCGGCTGCCCCTCTGTTCCCAGGACCCGACCCCGGCACCACGTTGCATCTCGCAGTCACGTCTCCTTGGTCCTGCCTGTGGCGGTTTCTCGGTGTTTCTCGGGACCTTGATACTTTTGAAGAGTGTGGCCGGGCAGTTTGGAGATTGCTCGTTAATTCGGGTTCATCTGATGTGTCCTCATGACTGGGCCGGGGTTGTGGGTTTGGGGAGGGTGTCCCAGGGTGAAGTGCCACCGGACAGCACATGATTGACCGCCGATGGCGGGAACCTCAGGCGCCGGTCGACCTGGCATCTGCTGGGAGCTCGCCTCTCCCTTTCCCGTCACGCGTCCTGCCAGCGAGCAAGCGGAGGCGACGGGTCACCTGGAGGCGGCGTGTGCGCGAATCACGTGCAGTTCTTCCACGGGGACCCTTCGTCCCTCCCCCACTCCCTCAGGTGACTCGCCCACGCCGGACACAGGGGCCAGTGTCCGCCTGGCCTCAGTCACGGCCAACCCCGCGCCTGTGCTCCCGGGACCCGGTCACGGCCAGCCCCGCGCCTGTGTTCCACTGCCCGGTCCTCCAGCCTCGGCCACTGGGAACCTTTCGCGTCAGTGCCAGGGTCCTTCTGACTTCCTCATCCATTTTTCTAGAACTTCCTTACTTTCTCACACTACAAAATGTTCCAGGTCCATCCTAGAATCGGCCGTTTCCCCAAAGCTCCCGGGTTCAGCCCGAGACCTGAGTGGGGTATGGCCTTGCTGCAGGGGTGACAGCACTTCCAGGCCCTCCCAGTGGACAAAGGAGATGCATATGCGGACCGACACGCACGCACACAAACACGCACACGCACGCACGAACATGCACACGCGCACGTGCATCCACGCACACGCACATGCACATGCGCACACGCACATGCATGCACACACACGCACATGCACACGTGCACATTCATGCACACGCGCACACGAACACATGCACGCACGCATACAAACGTGCGCACACACGCACATGCATGCACATGTACACACACACATGGACACAAAAACACACCTGCACACGCGCGCACACGCACATGAACACGAAAGCACACCTGCACAAGCATGTACACACATGCGCACACACATGCACGCACACATGCACATACGAATGCACACACGCACATGCACACGTGCACACATGAATGCACACGTGCACGTGCACACATGTGCACACACATGCACGAACACACGCACACGCGCACACACACGCATGCACATCTGTGCTTATTTCTCATCTGCCTCTCTGCGTACGAGTTAAGCAGGGTGCCTGCACTGGTGCCCCCGCGTCTGTCCCGGCGGCACGGGCCCACGCTGTCCCCCACACCGGCCTTGTACATCTTTCTCCACCAGCGAGACCTGCTCCCGCCGTGCGCGCCGCGTGCATTTACGTGCTCAGTCTCCGTACACGCGTGAAGTGTGACGTGTTGACGTGCTGTTCTTAGCGGACGTTCTTTTTGTTTTCGGCGTCTTTCTCCTCTGCCCACCACGCCGTTAACGTTGGAATGTGACACAGCGGATGTGTTGCTTTCTCGACGTCTGTACTAAAATGGGAACCAGATCACGAGTAGTTTCCTGAAGAGCATGTCTTTGTTTAAGGCTGGACCAGCAATCGAGGTTCCCACGTTCAGGGGTCAGTCGTGACGGGCCCCGCCACCTCCTCCTCCGGGCCGGGCCTGACGTCCCTCGTGCGTGTTCCCAGATGGGGCAAGTGGATGCCCCCAGAGTCTTTTCTGGGCCTTTCCTTAAAAGCAGCTCTGTTGGCGACGTCGCGGTCCCCTGGCATACTCCTTCTGCCGGCTCTGATCCCACCGCTTCTGGACAGAGCCACGCGGGGGAGGGACGAGCCAGGCTCTGCCTCCCGTCCGGTGGCCGCGCGTCCTCTCCATGCTCGTCAGCTGTGCAGCCAGAGGCCCAGCTAGCTTTCCCACCAGCCTCCAGCCCCCGCCCTCCCGTCCTGAGGGCTCCCTCTGCCCTCCACGTCCCGAGGTCATTTCTAAAGCTGGCTCTCCCCACCAGGGGTCAAATTTCAGAACCAGAGCCTGTCAAGCTCTTCATTTAGCACAGAAGGCTCTGGAGGCCCCAGAAGTTTAAGTTTACGAGAAAGCTCGGGAGGCTTTGGAGCACCAGCTTCTACTCCTGAAATCCCCCGAGACGTGAACTTATGGACCAAAACCGTTGGCCTGGAGCTGCCACACAGCTGTGATAGTCGTGACACTGAGCGCATCGGCCCTCGCCCTGGGACCCGCCAAGGGTGCAGTCGGGTGCTCGCCACAAAACGTGAACCGTGGCTCAGCCAGGGGCTCAGCTACGATGTTTTCCCCTCGAGTCTTATTTTGGGATCCAATTTCAAGAGTCACTCTCAAAAGAGAGACACGAGGTCTCTGGAACAATCCGAGAAGCTGACCGCCCCAGACTTGGTCACTGGGCTCTCTTCGCTCCCCTCCCTCTGGAAGGGCCTCTGTGAACCCTCGGACAGGGAGGGCGCCAGCTCCTGAGTGCTCAGACCAGACTCGTCCGCCCAGACGCACAGGTGCTGTTTCAAACCGTATCTTATCTTAGACCTTCCATCGCCTTGTGGCCTCCCCGGTGGCCTCGCCCTCCTGAGTCTCTCACGTGGGTGAGCAGGTGAGCGGCCAACGCCAAGAGGCACGGACATTTATCAGCCGACTCGCAGGAGACCTTGCTGCCCCCGCCATCCCCGTGCTGGCCGCCGGCCAGCCGGCCTCTCCCCCCACCCCCACCCCCCCGCAGGGGGAAGGAAAGGTGACAAGTGCAGGGCAGGGTGGGAGCTGAAACGAGAGTGTGGGGAAGCCCCATGTCAGCTCACCCCAAGGCCCCCGCAGGAGGGCAACCCTGAGAAGCCCCCCACGGCAGCGCCCAGGAGCAACGTCTCCGTGGGGCACCCGGGTCCCACTGCGGCGGGGACAGACGCCCGTGGCCACACTTGACCACCATGCAAAGCTGGTGCCTCTGCCCCTGTCCCTGCTGTCTGGGGTCGCGTGGCCCTTTGACCTGGAGTCCCCGCCAGGCGGCCTTCGGGGAGGCAGAAGAGGACACACGGCCCGCCCGGACGGCCCGGCGCGTGGATGTGCTGCTACTGACGCTTTGTCCGCACGAGCGCGTCCGGACCTGTGGGGAACGTTTATCACGGTGACGTGTGACGGGGCGCGAGATCGCGATGCTCCGGAGGGCGGCAGTTTGGGCTTCCTCTCTGCATGCGGAATTGTGGGGGAACGTAAGGAACGTGACCACGCGGGGGCGGGAGAGAGCGGGGTGGGGGCGGCAGGGCGCCTGACACGATCCCCGCTCCCCCGAGCGGTCTGACCAGAGGCCTTTCCAAGGTGCCTGGACCGGATGCACAGGGACAATGGCTTAAGGCAAAGATAAGTGACGGGCCTGGGGCCACCTGCCAGCCTGACCTGCCCGGCTCAGAGTTTATGACCGGGTCACCCTGAGGTGGCTTTCCGTACCACCCCTCCCCTTCTCCACTCCAAACTTTGAGAGAGTCTTTTGGTCTCTGACCGGGCGTGGTGACCTGTTGGTGTTTTACCTGTTGGTGTCCTACTTTCCTCGTAAAGTCACCGTCAGCACTTCCGCTGACCCCTGGGGGCGCTGGGGTCACCATGCCGGGTGCAAACAGGCCCTGCCCCGCGAGTCCACCGTCTGCGAGAGGCCAGACGGATGACGGACAGCGAGGGGTGTGGCAGGTGTGACGTGACCATGCCCATGCCTGGAGGACACTGGGGACACGGTGGTCCGGGAGAACAGGAAAGTCACCTCGGGCCGGTCAGGTCAGAGGCCTGGAGGGCGCTGCCCACGCGGCCACCCGTGCTAACGTTCCGTGACGTCTGGTTCTCGCGGGCACGGTGACTCTTCGCTGCCGGAGAAGGTCACCACGTGCTGCGTAGTCCGCCGCATAAAATCATTCTGGTCTTTAAACGAAAAAGTTGCCGGTTTTGCCGAGAGGGCGGGGCAGAGGGGGCGCGTCCCAGGGACCGAGCCTCACCGGGGGTCTCCCGATAACACCCGTGCTGTCTGTCCGCCAGTTCTTTACGGCGTCCTGTTTGAGAAGGACAAGGAGGCCGCCTTTGCCAACTACCGCCTTGGAGAAGCGCTGGGCTTCGTCGTCGCGTTCGGGTACAGCGCGTTCCTGTGTGTCAGCGTCAAACTCTACATCCTCCTGGGAGTCCTGTGCCTGACCATGGCGGCATACGGAATCGTCGAGTATCAGGAGTCCCAGGACCTCGGCCGGCCACCTGCCGGAGGCGCGACGAGGCCAGCGGAGGAAGGAGAAACGCAGACAAAAATGTGAACACAGCGGACAGGTGAGCGGGCGCCCAGAGCTACGCTCGATTCTCTACAACTGTTTCAGCCACGTGTGGCCATTCGAAAGGCAGATCATAGCTTTATTTTATTACGTAAATTTTTGTCTAGTCTGTCAGATTTTCAGTCCGCCATCTCACCAGTAGAGATCAAGAGTATACGTGAAAAAAAACAGTGAGTTTCAAATACGAAAGAAAAGGTTCGGGGCCCGTACGCAGCCGTTGGAGCCGTGCTCAGAATCACAGAGTCGATAACTTAACACTTGTTTTTGCTGTTGCCATTGCTCTGTATTTTACAAATCGTGACCACGTAAAGCAATGCGGTCCAGCTCCGTGCACGGACGCCGGGCAGGTGACCCTGCCTTCCGGTGCCAGCGTGGCGAAGCCAGCCTAGACTCCACGTTTCTCGAGACTTCCAAAGTACGGGTTGCTGAGTAAATGCGCGTATACGATGAAGCTACCTCCTCTCCTAATACCTTTCCCCTAAATGCTCACCCAGATCCCACGCGAAAGCCACCGCGCCCGTGACCCAGCAGGCAGCGGGCCGCCGGAAGTCTTCGCGGACGACCACAGGCTCGGCTCCCCCCGGGCCACCGGGACGCAGGGCCATCTTGCCGTCAGCGCCCAGGACCGGCGGCGTTTCGCTACCCACCGTGGACGCCGCTGCTTCTGCCGCCTGCGGCCCCTTCTTTCATCCGTGCGGCTTCGCGCCCTCTGGCGCCGGACCCAGTGTCCTCCGTCCTCCTGTCAGCCAGACGCCTCCTTCCCCGTCCTCGTCAGTCTGTGCCCTTCTCCCAGGCTCCCTCTGAAGTGTCCCGTGAAGGCGGAGGATGAGCCCCGCCTCCACCCCGCCCGCCTCCCCCAGTCCTAAAGTGACGTCCCGGCAGGTCAGACACCATTTGCAGCCCTTCGGCACCCCAGTCCCCACGCGGGAAGTCCTGGGGCTGTCTGGGCAGCCCCTTCCCTCCACCCCTCCGCCTCTCTGCCCATGGCGTGTCCCGCCTGCACGTGCCCGCTCGGCGCCGGCTCACTGAGCTCGTGGGCTGCCTGCTGCGGGCCTGGGTGACACACACTCGGCCGTGCTGTTGTCTGCAGAGCTCTCTCCCCGTGCCGGACAATTATTCAAAGAATAATTACCCTCCCCTCGCCCCTCCGTGAAATTCCAGCCACCCCCACCCCACCCCTGCGCTCACGCCCTCATCCATTCACCCATCCATCCATTCACCCATCCATCCATCCATTCATCCATTCATTCATCCATTCATCCATCCATTCATCCATCCATCCATCCATCCATCTATCCATTCATCCATCCATTCACCTATCCATCCATTCATCCATCCATCCATCCATCCATCTATCCATTCATCCATCCATTCACCTATCCATCCATTCATCCATCCATCCATCCATCCATCTATCCATTCATCCATCCATTCACCTATCCATCCATTCATCCATCCATCCATCCATCCATCTATCCATTCATCCATCCATTCACCTATCCATCCATTCATCCATCCATCCATCCATCCATCTATCCATTCATCCATCCATTCACCTATCCATCCATTCATCCATCCATCCATCCATCCATCTATCCATTCATCCATCCATTCACCTATCCATCCATTCATCCATCCATCCATCCATCCATCTATCCATTCATCCATCCATTCACCTATCCATCCATTCATCCATCCATCCATCCATCCATCTATCCATTCATCCATCCATTCACCTATCCATCCATTCATCCATCCATCCATCCATCCATCTATCCATTCATCCATCCATTCACCTATCCATCCATTCATCCATCCATCCATCCATCCATCTATCCATTCATCCATCCATTCACCTATCCATCCATTCATCCATCCATCCATCCATTCATTCATCCATTCATCCATTCATCCATCCATCCATCCATCCATCCATCCATTCACCCATCCATTCATCCATTCATCCATTCATTCATTCATCCATCCATTCATCCATCCATTCATCCATTCATTCATCCATCCATTCATTCTCTCATTCAGTAGCCACCGAGCTGCCGCGGGGCCAGCAGCAAACGGTGAGCAAGTACAGACATGGTCCCTCCGACACTCGGTTTTCAGCCAGGCAAGGGGACAGGTGCTGACCAAATAAACACGGACCTGCTCCCACTCGAGCGAGCGTGCACGTGGCCGGTCGGCGTCACCTTCCCACCAACCAGGATTTGCCCTCGAGTGCCAGCATCTGTGAATGGTGGCCTCTTCCTGCCGTCACCCAGGCTCGGCGGTCCTCCGGCAGCATGACAGTGGGGCAAGCTCGCCCGTCATCTCGTGGGCCCGTCCGCGAAATCACCACCTCTCCTCCCCCTCGCCCCCAGCTTCCCACAGGACTCCAGCCCCCGCCCCCCGCCCCGCGTCCCACACGGGGGCCCCCAGCTGCATCCCCAGCCCACCCCCCTCCCAGGGCTCTCTCCCGTCTAAGGACCACACTCTGGCTCCTGACCATGACTTCCAGGCCCTTTGGGACTTTGTCGCTTTATGTCATTTCGGCCGAACCGAACTCTTCAGTATTTTTCTTGGACGCCAGGTGCTTTCCTCTACGGGCCCTTAGCTCTTGCTGCTCCTAAGTCTCCCCTCGAATCACCTTCATCCTCCTGGGCCCGCGCGCAGGCCGTAACTTCCCACAGTCGTCCACGACCTTCTTAACAAAGCTGGTGTCCTGGGCCCCGGTTTCCCCGCACTGCGACCCCCTTTCCCGGCGTGGCTGCGGGCTGCCTCCGATGGATCATCTCTAAGAGACCAGCCGACTTCTCATTTCCCGCCACGGGGAGCCCGGGGCATTTTCCAGAGTCGACGCTCAGGAAGCATGTGCACAGATGGCCTTTGGCGAGGGCAGGGGACACTCAGTCCCCTCCAGCTTGGAGGTTTAGGATCCTGTGGTGCTCCTGGATGCAAGTCAGATTTGAGCCGGCCTGGTTTGGAAGAGCTTGTTGCTTACTCACTCAGCTAGAGCATTTGAATGTGAGTTACCTAACTTGCTTAGGAGCCCCTCGCACCTAGGGAGGCCCTTGGGGATTAGCCGGAGATAAAGGCGGAGTCTCCTAGACACAGGTGGCACTGAGGAGTGTGCCCTGCACCAAAGGGCCAGCAGGAAGGGACCCACGAGCTGAGAGGACGTGCACACACAGCCCTGGAGGACCTCCACGGGGAAATGACCAAGTCAGGGCCCAGGGACACAGGGGAGCCAGGCCGTCCTCAGTATCATTATTTTATTATTTCGGAAGCCTGGGCAGTGGCCTTAGCAGCTGTCGACATCGGGGTGGCTTGTCGTGCAGCATCTGCATGAGCTGTGCGGACACCCCCACCTGGTTTGTGAGGCAAAGGCCAGACGCTCGGTACTGTAGCTGGGAGCGCTCAGTCCTCCCCGCCTGGTGCTGGTGCTGGGAGTGCTCAGTCCTCCCTGCCTGGTGCACTCTGCCCACAGGCATCTCTCACGACCCATTGGACACTCGGTGACAAGCAGAGTGATTGCAGAGAGACCCGGTCCAGAACTTCAGGTCCAAAGACCCACCTTCTCCCTGTGCCAGGGAGCGAAGCCCCTTGGTGTGAGAGGTGACGTGGACCAGTCTGCTCCTCTGAGTGGCCCCGAAGTAGAGGCTTCACGGGATTAAAAGACGTCCCCACAGGCTAAAGGCAGCCCAGAATTCTGACCAGATGGCCGAGCGCACCTTGCTTGGCTACTGCCTATGCTCACAGAACAATGTGCCAGACCACACGTTTGCCAGGAGCCAAGGCCGCCCATGTGCCCGGGGGTTAGAGCAGGCTCGGCGCGGGCCCGCGCTGTCTGGCGGTCTGGGGTGCAGTGCGCTGGGGCCGTCCACCGCCCGCCCCGTGGGCTGCACACGCGGCCAGCGCCTGGCCGGGCCCCCGGAGCTCCCTGGGAGACGGCCTGCATCGTCATGGTCTTTTGTTTTCTCTTCATCCTTTTGATGAGAGGCATCTGCGAATGTGCCCAGGTGCCCTGGAGCGAGGCCCAGAGACGGGCCCCTCACGAGCTCTTGTCTAGGCCTGGTCAGTGGCCGAGGAAGAAACGTCTGTCCCCTCCGTCACGGCAGCTCTGCCAGCCTCACGTGTGCTGGCGGAAAGCCAATCATTTCATCTTGTTCCTGGCATTCCATTTGTAGACGGGGCACATTCCTACTCCACGAGGAATTACTAAGACCGTGTGTCACTGAGGGACACTGTGAGAGCTACATGGACGAGCGGTTAAGAGTGACTGTCCCCTAGGCTAACGCTGAAGGACAGCGCTTCTGGGAACCCCGAAACCGCAGAGCCCGGCGGGTCCCACCCACGGAGCGCAGCTCCCCCAGCCCGACTCATGCTCAGCGGCAGACGCACGCTTTTGCTGTTCGCTCAGAGTTATGATGAGGGCGAGATTTCAATTAGTATAAAAAACTTCCAAAAAGCGAAAGGTCTCTCTACAAGAATACTGTTGAATAAAGAAATAAAGGTGAAAGCCTCTAATCATAAGAAGCAAAGCTGTCGATAATCTAGGCTTATCGCTGGCATATGTTTACTATGATCTATTAAAATGAGTCCTAAGTTCACTAGCGACCAAGGCAATAAAAAGAAAGATCCTGTAACAGACGTTGTTTGGTGGAAGGAGCCTTACTGGTGTGTTAAAAGGTAATTTTCTCCATACTAAAGGGAGAGGGAACTTTCAGGCGGGTCCTTCACCGGGTGGGCAGGCGCAGGGGACGCATCTCTGGTGGCCGGGTGCCCTGTGACCGTCTGATCGCTGAGGCGGGACTGTGACCAGGTGTGGCAGCGGCAGGCTCGGTGGCTTTCTGCCACACCCTCCAGAAGCCGAGAGTCCTCTACTCCAGGGCCCGCAGGCCTGGGAGGTGCCAACCCCGACCCCGGGCCGGGTTAGGTAAAGCGCTCCCTTCTGCAGTGACAGCCGGTCCCCCTGTCGCCTC